TCAATTTGCGTGGGGTCTCGCAGATGACAACATCAGGAAAAGGCTGCTGGGAGAAAGAGACCCGACGTACGACAAGGTGGTGTCAACAGCGATGTCGCTGGAAGCGGCGAGAAGAGATGCAGCTGGCATGAATTCCGGGAACGGCGAGGCAGTCAACTTGGTCAAGAAAATCAAAAAGGTAACGACGAAAAAAAGTGCAGCGAGCAGAAAAATTAAATGTTTTTGTTGCGGAAAAATTGGACATAAATCGATAGAGTGTAAATTTAAAAATTGCGATTGTAATTTATGTGGAAAAAAAGGACATCTAAAGGCGGTATGTAAAAGTTCAAAAAAAAGAATGCACGGAAAAGAAAAATAAAAATAGTAGTTACAATTTCGTGGAAGAGGAGAGCGATTCCGGGGAGGAATTTGAGCGGTTGTGTATCGTGAGGCCGGTACGGAAAATAACGTCCGAAAAACCGTTGAAGGTTAATTTGAAATTAGAAAGCGTGTCGTAGGATTTTGAGGTTGATACAGGATCACCGATTTCCGCGATATCGTGTAAATTGTTTGCGAACGCTAAGGAACTTAAAAATGTGAAAATGTACAGAACGTCGAGACAATTCAAGGCTTACGCGGGCCAAATAATTATTCCGGAGGGATATGTAAAAGTAAATGTTGAGTGTAAAGAAAAAAAAGCGTGCCTTGAATTATTCGTTTTTCCGGGCTCTAGTCCACCGATTATTGGAAGAAATTGGATGATCACGTTAGATATGATCAAAGTAAATAATAACAATGCTTTGTTAATTGGCTCAATTTCGCGTGTTTCAAGTAATGCTCCTAGCGTGAAGGAATTTTATGGAGTTTTTTCAAGTAAGTTAGGGTGCTATAGTTAACGGAAAGTAGGGTTAAAGTTACTGGAAGGAGTAACACCGGTGTTTGTAAAACCAAGGCCCGTGCCTTACGCAATGCGCGAAAAGATTGAAGCAGAAATTGAAAGATTAGTAAAAGAAAAAATATTAGAACCGGTAAAAAGTAGTCCGTGGGCGACACCGGTAGTCCCAGTATTGAAAGCAAACGGAGAGATTCGCTTGTGTGGTGATTTTAAGGTTACCATAAATCCGTGTTTAGTAGTTGACAAGCACCCGATTCCGAGAATTACAGATTTGAGTACGAAACTGGCGGAAGGAAAATTTTTTAGTAAATTAGACATGACGCAAGCGTACCAACAGATGTTGTTGGATGACGAATCGAAACAGTTGCTGACGTTATCGCCTCATAAAGGTTTGTTCGCGTGTAATCGCTTAATGTATGGAGTGGCGTCAGCACCGGGAATTTTTCAAAGAGAAATGGAAGAGTTATTTGCAGATTTAAAAGGAGTTGTCTCCTATTTTGATGATACTTTTATATCAGGTAAAACAAAAGAAGAACACGATAAAAGATTACGCGAAGTGCTAACAAGATTAGAAATGGCGAATTTGACACTTAAAAAAGAAAAATGTGAATTTGAAAAAAGTAAAGTAAGTTTCTTAGGGTTAGAATTAGATGCGAACGGGATTCGTACTTGTAAAAAAAAAACGGAAGCGATAGCGCAAATGAAAAAGCCAGGGAATGAAAACGAACTAAAATCATTTTTAGGTATGTTGAGTTTTTATTCTAAATTTATTAAGAATTTCGCAAATATAGTTGCACCCTTGTACGAATTATTGCGAAAAGATGTTGAGTGGGTATGGACGAGCGAAAGAAAAAAAGCGTTCGAATTGGCGAAAGCGGCGATAGCATCGCCTGAAGTCCTTACGCACTACAGCACTGAAATCCCAATAAAGGTTACGTGCGACGCGTCTCCGAGACGAGTGGGAGCAGTGCTGACGCATGTGTTTGACAATGGGGAGGAGAAACCCGTAGCGTTTGTATCAAAAGTATTGTCTAAAGCGGAAGCGAATTATTCGCAGCTGGATCGAGAGGCGCTGGCGTTGGTGTTTGGTGTCATCAAGGCTTTTCATCAATTTATCTATGGACGTAAATTTATCCTTGAGACAGATCACAAGCCATTGACTTTTATTTTTGGTTCAAAAAAAGGTCTGCCTCAAATGGCAGCATCGCGAGTTCAAAGATGGGCCGTATTTTTATCGGGTTACGATTTTAAAATTAATCACATAAAAGGTGCAAATAATGGCCCAGCGGACAGCCTCTCTCGAGTCCAAGTAGAAAATGCTATTAAGAATGAACATACAAATACTATAAATAAGAACAAGGCTGATGATTATACTTATCTAAACTATGTTATTGATAACAGTAATGATTTAATTAGTGCCGAAATTATTCGCGTAGAAACGGCCAAAGATAAAACTTTAAATCAAGTTCGCGAATATGTAAAAATCGGTTGGCCAGCAGAGGTTAGTCACAACTTGAAAACGTTCAAAACGAGGCAGCTCGAATTATCGGTGGAGGAAGATTGTATCCTCTGGGGTCATCGCGTAATTATTCCCTTGAGTCTTCGCGAAAACTTGTTGTAACAACTGCATGAGAGTCACTGGGGCGTAATAAAAATGAAGGCGCTAGCTCGCTCATATTTTTGGTGGCCGGGGATCGATGCGGACATTGAAAAATTAGCAAAATCATGCATGCTGTGTGCGCGAAATGCCGATAATCCGAGACGAGCTGAGTTACACGTGTATGAGTGGCCATCGGGGCCGAACGAGCGTGTTCAGATTGACTTCTGCGGACCAATAGATGGTCGAATGTATCTCATCATAACCGATGCGTACTCTAAATGGGTAGATGTAATCGAGATGTTGAGTATCACGGCGTCAAAAACGATTCCTGTTTTGAGAGCGTACTTTGCGACTTGGGGTATTCCATTGACGGTGGTGTCGGATAATGGCCCCACGTTTACCTCCGAGGAATTCAGGACTTTCCTCGAGAAAAACCATGTCAATCATGTGCGCACGGCACCTTACCATCCTGCGTTCAACGGAGCGGCCGAAAACGCGGTCCGTAGCTTCAAGAAAAAGTTTAAAACCTTGCTCGAGTCAAAAATGTCCTGACAGGATGCGTTATGTAAGTATCTTATGTATTACCGCTCTACACCTCATTTTACCGCGGGCATAACGCCAGCCGAATTGCAACTAAACCGAAAAATGCGTACGCGCTTGGACACGATGAAACCAACTATCCGAACGAGAGTCGAACGGAGCCAAGCTCGCCAAAAATATAATTTTAAAGGAGACCGCAAAGAAGTCTTCAAAGAAAACGATGTTGTTATGACGAAAAACTTTAGTAAAAATTCGTGGGAACCTGCTACAGTTCAAGCTAGACTTGGCCCTGTTACTTACTCCGTCTGGACAAGCGCGAATAACAATGCGAAGAGACACCTTGATCAGTTACGTCCAATTATAATAAAACAAAGTGATCCACGTGACACGGAACAATTCGTGGTAACCAACTGTGTTAATGTGCCAATTGAAAATAGCGAGCCTAGGAACACGAAACGTCGAGATATGAGCATCCACGAATCTATTGAAAGCGCACCCGATATTGCAGCGACCAGGCCGAGCCTCACGCCTAGCAAAAAAAATGCGCCCCTATCGACGAGTCCAGCACTCGCCCTGCGTCGTTCGACTCGTGTGCAAAAAGCTCCTGAAAAGCTTAATTTATAATTTGAAGCACAACACTAAGGGAGAGGACTGTGATGTATGCGTGAGCATGCGTGTATGCTGTGACAGTATGTGTGTCCGCCACGCCGCGACGCGTGTGTGCCTCGATGTCGAGCAAGTCAGAGCAAGTCAAGCTGTCGGGTTGACTAGACGTGTATCCGCTACTATTGAATATAAATGAGTTATAATTACGTGTGCATAGTTATTGGCTTCACCTCCTTATTCCTTTCCTACTAATATCCATAGGGGATTATTAGTCAAAGACATATAATACTCTCTCTTTCTCTCTGCTGCGTCCCCCTTGCCACCACATGCTATACTAACAGGCATATACTACTGACCACTGACCAGTTGACCACTCTGATGAAGATGCACTGCTATACTCACACACATACATATACACTGTCAGGGGACTCACCGGAATAGCTAATCAGGTCAGGAGTGGTGGCATAGAATGCAGTCACGGGTCACGGACTCACGCCTCACGGGCTCACGGCGTCACGCACTCTTTTATTATACCTCTATGGCTGTGGCTGAGACGCCACAGACATATAAAAAATAGACTGCTTGTTCTTATGTACGGCACTGAAGCACAAGTAGAGACACGATATTGAACGTGTATATCCGTCTCTCTCTCATTTTGCCACGGGCGGGGAGGTTGCATCAGCTGGCTTAGTTTACTGACCCCACCTTTGCCAATGTGCAAGAGAGACAGATACCCACGTTCGATGTCATGTTTCTTTTTACTCGTGCTTCAGTGCCGTACATAAGAATGAGCAGTCTACATTTCTTATATGTCTATGATTTTACGTTTATGTAGGCAGACTGGCAGAGGCAATCAGTAGCGACCACAGAGAGAGATAGAAAGGTAACTCGATGTCGCATCTCTTTTTGTCGTGTTAACGCTTCCACTTACAGAAGAATCGGTGGCTTGCCATTTCTTACTCTAAATCTATAATATCTCTATGGTTGTGCGTTGCGTTGTATATGCTTGCGTGTACCTTAGTGGAACTCTGATCTGTCTCGGACTCTATTTTGGAACTATGGCGTGAAGTACTGTTTAATTATAGAGTCCGGGACAGAACAAAGTTCCACTGACTACATTTACGTCAACTTGCCGTCTTGCCGTATTGACTGTATTGAGGGCATTGAGGCCCTGTCGGCCCTGCCCTGTACTTTCTGGGGTGTGTTCCTGTAACGCTCTCCGACAACTTACCAACAACTTGATTATGTCTTACGACATCTTGCGTCGTGTTTAAGTTGTCGGTAAGTTGTCGGAGAGCGCTACTGGAACACACGGCTGGTATCTGTTTGTAGTACAAATTTTGCACCGTGAATAGCCCCTTAAACTCTTACACCTGTTATTAACAAGTTGAGATGCTAGAACTTTTTATAAATTTTGTTTGAGCCAAGATTTTAGATCAAGTGCATAATATGACTTTAATTATTTTTGCATGAGTAAGTGGTAAAAAGATAATTATACTAATACTTTTTTCAGTTTTTATCTACGTAAGCCATTCATTCACGATATGGTTACTTATGTAGATACAAATTTCTAACCTATGCTTCATCATAGTTTATTTTGTAAATGTATAAGTTTGTAGGAAAGTCAATTAGTCATATAATTTATCTATGTTAACATCCTTTTAGAATTCTTACGCTACTTTATCAAAAGTCGAGAATGAGCGATTCTGAGGATGAGTTGCCTAGAGTAACAGGCCCCGTAGAAGATGCTTGGTCCTTGAAAATTCCGGAGTTTAAGCCAGAACATAACCCGCACCGGCTTCTCGAAGAAAGTTCCTTTGCGACTGTATTTCCAAAGTATAGAGAAAAATACATGAAAGAATGTTGGCCACTTGTGCAGAAGGCCTTAAACGAGCATCATATCAGAGCAGAACTCAATCTTTTAGAAGGCAGCATGACTGTAAAAACAACTCGAAAAACGTGGGATCCATACATTATTATCAAAGCTCGTGATATGATAAAACTTATGTCTCGTTCAGTGCCTTTTGAGCAAGCAGTTCGAGTTCTCCAGGATGACATAGGTGCTGATATCATCAAAATCTCGTCTTTTGTAAGGAACAACGAAAAATTTCACAGAAGGCGGCTTAGGCTCATTGGACCAAATGGCTGTACTTTAAAATCTATAGAACTGTTAACCAATTGTTATGTGCTTGTACAAGGACAAACAGTAGCTGCACTAGGGCCATACAAGGGCTTACAACAAGTGCGACGCATTGTAGAAGATACTATGAAAAATATTCATCCAATCTATAACATTAAGGCATTGATGATCAAGCGCGAGCTTGCTAAAGATCCTAAGTTAAAGAATGAAAATTGGGAAAGATTTTTGCCTAAGTTGAAGAGTAACAATGTGTCGAAGCGAAAGCAGCCAAAGAAAAAGAAAATTAAAAAGGAGTATACACCTTTCCCACCGCCTCAGTTAGAAAGGAAAATAGATAAGGAAATAGCTTCTGGTGAGTACTTTCTTACGGCAGATCAGAAAAGAACTAAAAAACGCAAAGAACAAGTGGCTAGACATGAAGAAGCTGCTAAAAAGAGAAAAGAGCGCCGAGCTCAAGTATTTGTACCACCAAAAGAGAGTAAAGAAAAGGTCAGTGAACAAAAGACTAACTTGGATCTTAGTGAGTTTAAGAAAAAAGTGAAAAAAGCTCTTTCAAATAAGGGAAAAATATTGTAAATCAAAAATTTATGATAATGTCGACAAAGATTTTTTATAATATTTTATTAAAAATTTCGTTACAATTATATCGTTTAATACACTATCTGTACTATCCATTGTTGTAGCTGGAATCTGTACTATTAATTTTTGTGGCATATACCAATCCATTTTATTGAATCTAATTATTGGGCTGAAGTAATCCTTGTAACAAATATACTTGGCAGTGAATATTATGATTGTTGCTTGGGCAGAATTTATTTGAAACAGGCATTACCTCTTATCACAAACTATAAATTGCACGATCACTCTTTTTTTTAGTGATTTGTATGAGTCTTATATGTTATTTTCATAACACATTTGTATTATAAACATTTGCACTGTGTAAAAATAATGGTTGCAATGCTCAAGATGTCAAAAACCTAATCTCAGAGCTCTCTTTGTACCTATGCCAATGTAAAATTACTTGAAATTTTAAAAATTATCAACAAATGAAAGTGTGCATCTGACAAATCAATATTATCAGTGCAATGAAAAATCTGTAAGAATCACTTTATCATGTTTTCAGACATAATATTTAAATATACATTCATTACATAAGTTCAGTGAAAACATTATGTTAATAAGAATAATTTTTTTGCAGTCTTACATCAAAAGTGAAACATGCAAAATTCTTTTCGAATTAGCTCCGACTTTTCTAAAATAATTAAATAAGTAACTACGAAAATTACTCTATTAATATCTATTACTAGTTTTAATAACAGAACTTACATAATTATAACATTTGCTGTAACATTTTATTATTTTATTAAGATTCACAAAACATATGGTTTCTACCTTGTGTAAAATTAGACGTTTGTAAGTATATTTGCTATAAAACAAAAATCATTTTTTTCTGCTGAACTTTCAAATAAAACTTTCATTTTGTTAATGTGTTAAATATTTAGCCTTTGCATTTGATACCCAAGGCTAAGCCAAGATTAACAAAAACATAATCTGAGGCTTTTTTTGTTTCCTCCCGTGGGTTGTACTTTATTTTTCATACATTTTCATGAATCCTACACTGAGAGACTTAGCCCAGAATTTTTTTTAATTCTTTCAACGCAGCACGGTAAAAATACAATTCTTTCAGAATCTTTATTTTTCTAGAAACATCTTACAAAAATTTTCATTTGAATACTATTTCTTACATTGTAATATATAACGTACGAAATATTTTAACTTTAAAAAGTAAATGATATATCTTGTACAAGAATAAAAATTATATATTGACACTCGACAAGAAAGGTACTGTACATTTTTGAACATTGCTGATTATCTTAATTTAATTTGTATTTGCTGCTTTCTTTAAGTGGTATGAATATTGTATTTCCAATTTACATGTTTATAAACAACGTTATGATTATTTAATGAAACTGAAAAGTTCGAAGCAAAATCTTTTTTTACACTTTTTGGGGTGTACAGACACACAGATAACAAAAAAGTAGAAGATAATATTTTGTCAGAAAATCGCTCATTATTTGCTTTTTTCATGATGGCTATAAATTTCTTTCACTAAAATAAACATGTGTCTATTTCCTCTAAGATAAAGATTGTTAGAATAAGTTTGTATGTGAGCAAACATTATTCAATTATATTCAGAATTTTATAAGGTTTATGCCAAGATAATACACACATTTATACAAGACTCAGGATAATATATAGGTAAAAACAATTTACAACTGACCCATTTAGTTTTAGTAAATAATATACATATATTTACATACATTTTAGGTACATCTAACAAAAAGAGCTTACATAATACGTCCATACATACCTTGTAAAAACATGTGAATTTACATTTTTTATGCTATTAATGAAGTTTGACAATACAAGACATATCATTAATAGTACAGACATAACCCACACACACACATATATTCCCATAAACCAATATGAATACATAATGTTAGTATGTTAAATTAAGCACACATATTTATACTACATGCATTGTTCGTTTATGGAATGCTAATTAAATTATGTTCTTAACGATTTGCTATGAGTAATTTATGTATAAAATGCTAGTGAATACAAATAGTATCAAAACTTCCAACAGTTGATATAAAAACCCTGAGAATAAATGTACACCAATTAATGTTTTTTAGTAGGTAATTTTGTTGACTCTATTTATTTGAACTAAGTAACATTATGTTGGTAGAAAATTAGTGTTTATGAAGAAATCAATAGATCTAAATTACTTGTACATCACATGATAACATCTTGTAAAATATTTACAGTTCAACTCGTCACACGAGCTAATCCTATCTGCTAGATTCACAAATTATTTTACAATTTACTATATAAATAGTTATTATACAGTACATGTTGATGACAAATAATTCGTCTCAAATTTATAGACATCTTGAATATAAATCGGTAAGTTATGAATTGCATGCGCTTTTTAACGTGCTTTTAGCAATCCTGATGAAGATAAAATACAGTAACAATATGCTGTACTGATAGATGCTCACAAAGTTTTGTTTTGTGTAAGTACTGAAGCACGAACGTTTGTGCAACTTTTTAGATTAGACCTCTAATCTCCAGATTGATATTCTTGGGTAAGGTAATTAATGTGTTGATTTTTTATTTATTAACTATATATTTTACTCATTGATTTTTTAAAAGTTTTGGGTTATTTATACTGTTCTGTATCTTAACAATACGCTTCAGATATCAATGAAACTGTATGGACTACTTAATTTTCACTCAAAAACAACTTTTTCAACTTTGAACAAAAAAAAAAATGTTTTTAGGACATTTTTTCATGTTTTTTTGAATTAAGAATCCTGTTTGAGATGTTTCGGAGAAAAAAAATATCCGTTGGTTGATTTTTTAAAGAGAAATTAATAAAAATTCTAAAGAGCCAACAAATTTCTAATGTTAAAATATTGGGATTCCAAAAGGTCTCGTGACTCTCGCGATGTATATAGTCACTTGGGGGAAAAATAACACAGGCCTTATGGGTGCGATTCTATTTTCATTTTTTTTTTACACATTCAACGATTGTAATACGATAAAAGCCTCGTAATAACATATTTTTGAGGAGATGAAAATACCTTAGCTATTATTTCCTAACTTAATTAGTTTTTTGCAGCTTAAAACTTTCCTTTGAAAGAGAGAAAACGCACATTTAACCTGTACAAAGTTCTCCCGTTCCCGACTCTACATAGGAAAACAAGCAGGATTTTGGTAAGGTTAAATGTGCGTTTTCGCACTTTCAAAGGATAGTTTTAAGCTGCAAAAAACTAATTGAGTTAGGAAAAAATAGTTAAGATATTGTCATCTTCTCAAAAATATGTTATTGAAAGGCTTTCATCGTATTACAATCGTTGAACGTGTAAACAAAATAAAAATATAATTGTACCTGCAAGGCCTGTGTTATTTTTCCCACAAGTGACTATATATATCGCGAGAGTCACGTGACCTTTTGGAATCCCAATAAGGCTTGAGCTCGTACAAGCGCAAGTGTCAAAAAAAGTTGGATCTCTCTCTCTCGCACACTTGTGGCGTCTCACATCTCTCGTGCTTCAGGCTCTACTCGCCAGGTGGCCAAGCCCCTAATAATTATCTCCCGTCAAGCGGTGAAATTCCCGCACGATTAGTATATAAGCGCGATCGAGTCAATNTTAGTGCCGAAATTATTCGCGTAGAAACGGCCAAAGATAAAACTTTAAATCAAGTTCGCGAATATGTAAAAATCGGTTGGCCAGCAGAGGTTAGTGACAACTTGAAAACGTTCAAAACGAGGCAGCTCGAGTTATCGGTGGAGGAAGATTGTATCCTCTGGGGTCATCGCGTAATTATTCCCTTGAGTCTTCGCGAAAACTTATTGCAACAACTGCATGAGAGTCACTGGGGCGTAATAAAAATGAGGGCGCTAGCTCGCTCATATTTTTGGTGGCCGGGGATCGATGCGGACATTGAAAAACTAGCAAAATCATGCATTCTGTGTGCGCGAAATGCCGATAATCCGAGACGAGATGAGTTACACGTGTATGAGTGGCCATCGGAGCCGAACGAGCGTGTTCACATTGACTTCTGCGGACCAATAGATGGTCGAATGTATCTCATTATAACCGATGCGTACTCTAAATGGGTAGATGTAATCGAGATGTTGAGTATCACGGCGTCAAAAACGATTCCTGTTTTGAGAGCGTACTTTGCGACTTGGGGTATTCACTGACTCCTACAACCTTGCCGATGGCGGATTTAGTCAAGCATTTGAAAAACCATCTGAAACCGACTCCTTGTGTGATCGCGGAGCGATATAAGTTCAAAGAATGCAAGCAGCAAGACAATGAAGAAGTAAAACAATTTTTAGCCAAGCTAAAAAAGTTATCAGTGCATTGCGAGTTCGGGCAAAATCTCGAAACAAGTCTCAGAGATCAATTTGCGTGGGGTCTCGCAGATGACAACATCAGGAAAAGGCTGCTGGGAGAAAGAGACCCGACGTACGACAAGGTGGTGTCAACAGCGATGTCGCTGGAAGCGGCGAGAAGAGATGCAGCTGGCATGAATTCCGGGAACGGCGAGGCAGTCAACTTGGTCAAGAAAATCAAAAAGGTAACGACGAAAAAAAGTGCAGCGAGCAGAAAAATTAAATGTTTTTGTTGCGGAAAAATTGGACATAAATCGATAGAGTGTAAATTTAAAAATTGCGATTGTAATTTATGTGGAAAAAAAGGACATCTAAAGGCGGTATGTAAAAGTTCAAAAAAAAGAATGCACGGAAAAGAAAAATAAAAATAGTAGTTACAATTTCGTGGAAGAGGAGAGCGATTCCGGGGAGGAATTTGAGCGGTTGTGTATCGTGAGGCCGGTACGGAAAATAACGTCCGAAAAACCGTTGAAGGTTAATTTGAAATTAGAAAGCGTGTCGTAGGATTTTGAGGTTGATACAGGATCACCGATTTCCGCGATATCGTGTAAATTGTTTGCGAACGCTAAGGAACTTAAAAATGTGAAAATGTACAGAACGTCGAGACAATTCAAGGCTTACGCGGGCCAAATAATTATTCCGGAGGGATATGTAAAAGTAAATGTTGAGTGTAAAGAAAAAAAAGCGTGCCTTGAATTATTCGTTTTTCCGGGCTCTAGTCCACCGATTATTGGAAGAAATTGGATGATCACGTTAGATATGATCAAAGTAAATAATAACAATGCTTTGTTAATTGGCTCAATTTCGCGTGTTTCAAGTAATGCTCCTAGCGTGAAGGAATTTTATGGAGTTTTTTCAAGTAAGTTAGGGTGCTATAGTTAACGGAAAGTAGGGTTAAAGTTACTGGAAGGAGTAACACCGGTGTTTGTAAAACCAAGGCCCGTGCCTTACGCAATGCGCGAAAAGATTGAAGCAGAAATTGAAAGATTAGTAAAAGAAAAAATATTAGAACCGGTAAAAAGTAGTCCGTGGGCGACACCGGTAGTCCCAGTATTGAAAGCAAACGGAGAGATTCGCTTGTGTGGTGATTTTAAGGTTACCATAAATCCGTGTTTAGTAGTTGACAAGCACCCGATTCCGAGAATTACAGATTTGAGTACGAAACTGGCGGAAGGAAAATTTTTTAGTA